CTTTGAGACCTGCGTGTGATAACGTCCACTGAGTATATCTATACGATTAGAGGTTTCAGAGTCACCCCAGATTGTCAAAACTGCTGTTGGACTGGTGCATTTGTTTGATTTGGTGTACGCTTAGCCATCCATATCCATACATTTTTTTTATCCACGGATTCAAGCATCCATGAATTGAAAATATTAAATATATTCAAATATATATTACAAAAAGCAAAGCTTGATTTTGCCATTTTATATAAGGGACACCATTTTACTACACCATTGTATGTAATGGGACTTGAGCATCCATGGATTTTGTATCCAAAAAGGATTCTGGAAGCAAGCCCCAACATATATAGAGGGCCCACTGTATATGTGTGTGGGGGGGTTGGACAGCACACTCTTCTGCTCTGGTTGATATTTAATCTGTCATGCTTAATGACACCATCAGGTGCTGCTCCCTGTGACCTCACAATGGCTCAATTCTAGGTCTCGTCTTTTGACTTTGAATCTCAGGGCCCAGGATAGTCCTGACCTTGCAATGCTAACTATGAATGAAGAAGGTATTAGGACTTTCTTCAACATGGCATCCTTCAGATGTGTTATGATCCTTTCATGCCCAGCTAGAATGGCTACATCTATCTGGGGCGATAGGAGTTGTAGTCTAATACATCTTGTTGTTGTGTGTCTTCAAGTTGTGTCTGACGTATGGCGACCCTAAGGTTTCCTTAAGGTTTCTGACTTATGGTGACCCCCCTATCATGGGCGTTTCTTGGCAAGATTTGTTCAGATGAGGTTTGCCATTGCCTTCCCCTGAGACTGGGAGTGTGTGACTTGCCCAAGGTCACCCAATGGGTTTCATGGCCGAATGGGGAATCGAATCCTGGTCTCCAGAGTTGCAGTCCAACATTCAAACCACTATGCCATGCTTGCTCTCTCTAACATATCTGTGGGGCATCAAATTAGAGAAGCCTAGCTTAAAATGCTTGCCTTCACCCTAGGTGTGTGTATCAAACTTTCCTTTGGTCTTTGACATTCCTGTTGCCTTGTTCCCTAGGGTTACCTCCGCTTTGACTGCTTTCCGGTTTCCATCAGTGGGGAATTGTATGTCACGGCATTCACTAGACCTTCTTACCTGTCCTCACATGTGTTGCAGCTCACACACTATGGGCCAGGTGAGTTCCCCTCAGGCCTCCAGAAATGAAAAGCAGAGTAAATTTCAGATAACAATCTCTGTTTGTTATTTTTGCTGTGCTAGCTGCCTTGAATCCCATTTTGGGAGAAAGGCAGGATATAAATCCAATAACTAAATAACTAAACAAAATGTTTCTTTCCCATAGATTGCACCTGGCATGAAGCTAAAGATGCCATTCGTCTCTGCAAAGGTATGTAGGAATGCTACCAACTTTCTATCATTACTGTTCCTTCGACATATACACCAGTAAAAACAAGACCAATTTCCTGTATTCTGTTTGATCATTATCTTTAGTTTTGATTCAGGAAATTCCCGCACAGCTCTTCGTACAAATAAGACTTGCCTTGGCAGATCAAACTAAGCCAAACAGATTTTCCAAAGCAAAAACAAAATTTGGTGAAGAAGGTATTTTCTTATTTCTTGTCCACACTTCAAGGCATTTGGGTATTAGATGCATTCTTGGCCAACAAAACATAGCATCAGTTGCAGAAAGGAAAGGGTTTTATGACTTTGGACTTTATCACACCAGCCTGCTGTCCTGCCACAAAAACATAATGATTTGGCATCATTTCATATCACACTTGCCCCCATGATAGTGCTTTAGTGATCCATGGTCACGTGATCTGTTTTCTGCACTGTCAACTGTCACCTTCTGGGAGAAATGGGTGGAAATGAGTGATCACAGTTGTGATCACCTCCTGAAGCTGGATGCTTTATGAATGTGCCCGTGGAACTGCAACAGAAGGAACCTATTGCACAAAGGCAGTAATGGAATAGCAGCAAGACTGAGAGTTTATTGACAGATTTTGCCCGTCAGTGAAAAGGTGAACTATAGTAACAAATAGAATATAAAACAACAGCAGGACAGGCATGATGTCGTGTGATAAATATTTGCCAAAGATATTTTTATCTTGTTAAAATCCCACTTTTATAGCCTGGTGTGATACAGTTCTTTGTCTAGTCACATACCCACCAACTGTTCCAATTTTATAAGGACAGTACCAATTAATCCTCTGTCATCCCACTTTTCCCCAGCTTTTAAAATAATGTTCTGATTTCTCTCTCCTTCTCCCATTCTCTCCCTTTCTTCTTAGCTTACTTTAGTAAGTACAAATTAAACTCAAAGTGAAAAAGTAATGTACACTCAACTCAACAGCAGGGAGTGGAGAAGAGCAACAGACCCTTCTCAGTAGTAAAGGCCAACTGCTGCAGCCTCTCTAAATTTATGTCTTCTTCCTCATTTATGACTTTTGGCATGTTAACCACGCTCTTGTATTGCTTGGGTACATGTAGCCCAGTTTAAATCTCTAAAATGTTGGAGGGTATGGTGTCAAACTTCCTGCTTTTCCATAGATTAAGTCAGAAGTGGGCGACTGCACTGTAGGGTGATACCATTTTGCTGGGTTGCATTAGTTCATACTGTTTAGGCAAAAGTGACATAACACCAGTTCCAGTTTTGCTTTTCAGCCAAACAACATTATCCCTCAGTTTTGGGATGATTTGGGAGCATCATGGAGGAGGATCATCCAAACTGTTGCATTTTTTCAATTTTCAGTTTTCATTTTGGACAACGTGAGGGTGATTTTGAAATTGCCTGAAATTTTTTTAGGTTTCTAGGGGCATTGACAGTGTCCCAGTGACCCTGAGGGGGATGTATTTTCTTTACCTGTGCTTTAGGTACTCACATATACACAGATTTGTGAGCTAATAAATACATCTGCCTCATTATTACAGATGAAATAAACCCTCATTCAGATTTTATTAATGAGTGCAAGGATTACTGTGCAACTAGGAAAGCTAGTGGAGAATTTGTCATCACAAGAATCCCAGCTTTCATGCATAAGTGGTACGTTTTGAGTAGCGAGAGCTTTGAATATGATGCATCTGTGTACAATTATTATTATTATTATTATTATTATTATTATTATTATTATTATTATTATTATTATTATTATTTTATATCCCGCCCCTCTGCAGAGCAATCAGGGCAGCTTACAACATTAAAATTTCCATACAGATATATTAATACAATCTAAACAGAACATAAAAATCCCGAATCCACCCATCCTTTAAGAAGTAAGGGTTCTTCTTATTCTAGGCCCGATGGTGCTGGGTCTGGTGTCTCTCCCCCAGATGACATCAGATGGAGTGGAGGGAGGGCTCTTCTTATTATTCTAGACCCAAATTAACTCTGAAAGTAAAGATTTGCACAGGCCTTGGTTTATAGGATATCTTCAAAATCTGTGTAATGTGGTAATCCTTGGCCACAGTGTATCAGTGGTCTCAAGGATCATAAATGGCTTAGTAGTAGAAGTGAACTCTGCAAACTGTGACAGAGGTATTTGCAGGTGCAGGAAGAGTTTCTTAAAGTGATTTGACTGGTGAAAGAAAAGGTGCTGACAGATGATCACATATGCCCAGGGATCTCAGCTAGTTTATTGCCAATGATGCAATCCTGGAAAGCTGCTTAGGAAGTTGCCTTGTGCCATAACTCTGGTCCATCTCCTTCTGTATAGTTAGTTACACTGTCTGGCATATCTTTCCAGGGTAACTGTAAACAGGGTTTTCCCCCATCTCACCTGTAGTTACCTTTTGCATATAAAGCTTTGCCACTGAGCTGCAGCTCCTTCCCGTTTATATTTTTGTCCTTTGCTAATTGTTTTTTTTTATTATTCTTTAACAAACATTAATTTGTGAAGCAAGTGAGACAAGAATTCCAAAAATTCTCTAGGCAAGGGTAGCAGGGAGCAGATATTGAATATGATGCCACATGTGCTACCCAACTTATTATTTATTTATTTAAAAGTATTTATGCCATGCTCTTCTGCCACAAAAGGTTCATGTTTTCTTTAAGACTACTGGGTGCCACTAGAGTAGAACACTAGTTGTACAGTTTGGTAGGTTTGTAATAGGGTGTAATGGTCATACCCTCTGGCATTTCACAGATGAAAAACAGGAAAAGATGACAAAAATTATTAATGAGGAAGAACACACAAGCTAGAAGTTTTGTGTAGCATTTTGCTTTTCCCTGGGCCTACTAGGAAGGGCATGATTCTGCCTACCTCTTCTGCCTACCTCCTCCTCTCCCTCCCTTCACATCAGTTAATTTAATACAAACTCAATTTGCATCAATTGAAGTAAGCAGAGGACAAATGAGGACAGTGGGAGGAGAAGAAAGAAACTAGTACAGTTTAAAAGCAGCTGAGAAAGTGGGATGATGTTGGATTACCTTCCAAACTGGGATCATCAGAGGATATGGGAGTAGAGGTTCTGTACAGATGAGAATGTGCATTACCTCACTTGCTTCACAAATTAGTATGCCAGGCTTTCTGAATTTTGAACACCTTCCTGTTCATTTTGTTATGGGGGATCCAGTGATGCTGCTTCAAAATGCTACGGTGGAAGCATCTCTGGCAGACCATAAAGGAGTTTGGCAAGTCTGGGGTACAGTCAAAATGGAATGGATCCTTGGATCTTTGATCCCCAAAAGTTGTATTTCTAAGTTCTCTATCCACCCCAGTATTGACTGAAATCATCTCTGGCTGCCATTCCAAATAATAAGAATATGATTGATATCTGATAATAATAAGAAAATTCCTTTAGAGTCAAAAGGGAGTGAAGATTGGTCAAACATGGGGAGGTTTTTTTTTACAGCTCCTGACAAATTGTTGTTGTTGTGTGCCTTCAAGTCATTTCCATCTTATGGTGACTCTAAGGTGAACCTGTCATGGGGGTTTTCTGGCAAGATCTGTTCAGAGGGGGTTTGTCTTTGCTTTCCTCTGAGGCTGAGAGAATGTGACTTGCCCAAATGTCACTAGTGATCTAGCTAAGCAGGGATTTGAACCCTGGTCTCCAGATTCATAGTCCAAGGCTCAAACCACTACACCACAATGGATCTCTCCTCACCAGCCTTCCAAATAGAGAATTGTAAGAGTTTAATTTCAGTTCTTTTTAAAATAACATTTTATCAAAGTGGTCAATTTTTCCATATTGGAAGTTGGAAATTCTGTGGTGGGATAATCCATTGCCGACAAGACCAGGCCCAAGGCTTTAAGAATTTAAATCTTAGAAGTCTGGGTTTTAATCCTTGGGTATTTGACCATGTCACAGCTGAATGAGGATTTCTAAATTTTCCTCCCTTTTGCACCTGTATGGCAGGCCAGTACAGCACCATGATCCTCTTCATGCTGAGAATAGTTGATTATATTGAATTTTACTGGTGCAGATGGGATATGGGTCAGACCATTTTTGACAAATTTACCCAAAATTCCATCATATTGAAAACAGAAAGGTTTAAAAAGAACCGAACGGAGGTGAAAGTAAAACAGATTTCCACATTCCAGTTTCAGAAGAAAAACCCTGTTGGATTATATTCCCAGAGTCCCCTAGTCAGTATGGCTACTGGTTTGGAGATTATGGGATTGCGCTCTAAAGACCAGACATTGCCAAGATCTGAAACTCTTGGTGGAGCTCTGAGTGTATGTGTAATATTAATGGCAAACTGTTTTGCAGTACCTAGGCTGGAAATCTCTGTGGGACAAGAGGAGGCTGTGCTGCATGTATGGGATATCCCTGAAGGGCAGCCCTTCTGCCTCTGGCTGTATTTGAATCAAGCAAGCGGATTTAAAGAATTGGGCGAGAGCACTACTAAGTTACTGGTGAGTGAAAGGTTTTACCAAATATCTGCTTCACTCCCCACCAAAACAGCCTTCTTATTTCCTCCTTGTGTATCTTTCTTGCCCATGAATTCTGTACCCTATCCATCTCCCTGTCTTAATTTTATTATTGGCCTCTGTTTCCTTGCAATAACAAGGAAGGATGTGCAGTGGTAGAGATCTCTTGTTTTGAATTCCCATTTTGGGGAATGAGCTACATCAGAGCCTGTAATTGTTATCTTACTACAAATGGCGACATAACTCCTAGTGAACCTGAGAATTGCTATGGCTTCTAGGGAATAAACTTGAGCAAGTCACTAGTTCACAATACTGTTGTGCTATCCTAATAAAACATCCCACCGCATGTTGGGAGTTTATCACACGGGATGGATCCCATGCAGAAACTGGATTTAAAGTGAAAACAACCTGCAAAAGCAGGTTGTTTTTCACACGACGTTTGGGGTTAATCCAAACAAAAAATAGAAATAACCCGTAAAAGTGGGTTGTTTTTCACATGACGTTGGCGTCAAGGAGAAATAACGCAACATTAATCTGAATGGAAAGTTGGCAAAACCTGCTCCTTTTTACTTTCAGGAACTTCCAAAAGTAAAAAGGAGCGGGTTTTGGCAACTTTCCGTTTAGGTTAATGTTGCGTTATTTCTCCCTTACACAAACACATCTGAAAAACAACCCACTTTGGTGGGTTTTTTCAGATTTTTAGATCCTGTTTCTGCACGGGATTTAAGCAATTTGCCTCCGTGTGATAAGGTCCTTGGAGTTTAGTTCGCTGCATTCACTCCAGAGCAGAGTCTTAATTGTCTCTCCACTGGTTTTCACATTCCAGACCTTTATTGTGTAATCTTTGCATGCATCTACATTGTAGAAATAATCCAACTTTGCCACATGACTCCATTGTGGAGAAAAGGCAGGGTTTGGCAAGGCGAGAGAAGCCCTGGCAACATCCAGTAGGGATGGGGCAGGCGCCAGTCAATCAGACTGAAATTAGAAGGGGATAAATAGGACCAGGGAGTCAGTTAGTGAGAGTTAGAGTTAGAATGAGAGTCAGTTAGGAAGGGACTCAGTAAAGAGCGAACTCCGAGGGGGAGTTGCTGTTATAAATTATCCTGAGGGATATAAGGAGCCTTGGTGGCTGGTTTAGAAATAGGTTTAGAAAAGTACTGCAAATGAGGACTGAGTTGGTCCTAGGGGGAAAGTAAATTTTGTTCTCTGAGGAGAATTGTATTTATTTATTCATTCATTTACTGTATTTATACTCCACTCTTCAGCCACAAAGGATCTCAGAGTGGCTTGCAGATAGTTAATTAGACATTTTCCTGCCCTCAGGCTTACAATCTAAAAAGACATGACACAAAAGGAGAAGGGAATGGCAGTGGGGAGGGGGAATACGTCCAGTGGTTCCTCTCTCCCTCTGAGGCCTGGACCATGGCAGATGGCATGGACGGAGGGCTCTTCTTACTTTAGGCTAGGCCTAATGGAGCTGGGCCTTCCTTTCTCTTCCTCTGAGGCCGGACGATATCAGATGGCATGGAGGGAGGGCCTTCTTCTTCAAGCTAGGCCTGATGGAGCTGGGCCTGCCTTTCTCTCCCTCTGAGGTCAGATGATGTCAGATGAATTGTATTACGTAAAAGCACAAACAACAAGAAAGTGTACAAAGTCATATTATAATAAAGAATTGTCAATAATAATAATAATAATAATAGTAATAATAATAAATTTATTTCTAGCCCGCCCGCCCTGCTAGGCAACCGGCACGGGGTACAACATATTAAAACAGGCAACAGTTAAAAACATTCCCTCAATCCTCTCCCCAACCCACCCCCCCTTAAAACTGAATTAAACAAGCAAAGATTAAAATACAATAGTACAATAAAATATAAAAATATAATAAAACCAGGAAGCAGCAACAATACAAGGGAGAGGGGTGGCAGTCGCTCTGATTGGGCCGGAAAGTTATTCTGGGAAGGCCTGCCGGAAGAGATCCATCTTTACTGCTTTCTTAAAGGCAGCAAGAGTGGTAATAAGAAGGATCTCATCCAGCAGGCCATTCCATAGCGTGGGAGCGGTCGCAGAAAAGGTCCTCTGGGAGGTCT